TGCTGATTTTGCATGAAAAGGATTTTTTGAATTTTGGATAATTTTTAAATGGTGTTGTCATGATTCCAAATGTGGAAGGGGCTAAAGTTACAAATATCATGGTGTATAGTTTGATTTAATTGGATGATAAAATGATTTTGTCATGTGGGCTTTTGATTTCAAGGAATTAAGAGTCGGGTTTAGTTTTGATGGGCTTTTGGAAATAGTATGTTGGGCTTGAGTTTGGGTTGAATTGGATTAAAGTTTGGGCTAACCCAATGTTTAATTTGATATAAGAAGATGTCATGAAGAGTTTAGAAAGGATTTCAAGTGATTTTGAATTGAATTGGAAGACCAATTTGGGAAATTTGGACATATGGTCAAAATTGGGGCTTTTTTTATTTGGGTGAAATTGAGCTTGCAATTGAGTCAAATTGGGTTTGTATTTGGTTTCAATTGGTCTTAGGAATGTTGAATTTTGATTTGAAAATGAAATTGGGCAAGATTGGAGTCAATTGTGCCAAGATTGGGGTTAATTTGGGGAAGTTGAGCCTTTAAAAGCAATTTGGGGCTTTTGGTCAAATTGGGTCAATGTCATGGCTAAAAATTGAAATTGGGAATATTTAGGATGATTTTAGACTTTTTTGGGAATTTTTGGACAATTTTGAGGGTATTTTGAAAATTTGGTGATTTTGGTGAATTTTGGTCAATTTAAGTAGGAGTGGGTCATTTGAGACGACTTTTGGACAAATTTGGATATTTTGGGTAATTTTGAGATTTTTGGCAAAAATTAGGGTTGTATGGGTATTTTGCTAATTTGGTGATTTTGGGCCAAGATGGGCAAGTAAGCCATGAAACCATGTTAAACCAATAGGAGCCATATGAGGATTCATTTTGGATGTTCAACATGCTGGTCCTAACCCTCTTAGCCAAGGTTTAGGGGTATGGGTCCACCCATATGAGCTTTCCAAAAGGAGTCAAGAGACCAAATCAAGGGCAAGTGGTCTTAAGGTTTGGGGTGTGAAAAAGTGTAGTGTGTGCAAGCGAGCCTAACCAAGACCAGACCACCCAGGGTTAGTCCTAAGGCTTAAGCATCCTATGGGAACTCTCCTTGAGCTCCACCATATTGACCCCACCTACTAAGTTGTAGAGGTTATGACCAATATGTGAAACTTCAAGTTGAGCATAAAATAGTGTAGAATTTCTAATTGTGAGAATTCCTTTTCAAGTCCTCTAGGAAAACAATAAAATCTTATGACTAGACCCTAGGCTACTAAGAAGGAAAAGCTATATCTCAACCAAAAGTGAGGTCAACAACGTCTTAATCCATGTTCAATTACCTTCTCCCATAATTTTAAAGTATGACACATTAACTTAATTCATCTATAATTACACACTCTTGTGCTTCCCATTTATTCTTGAAAATGGAAACCAAAATACTCTTTCTTCACCTCTCAAATATCTTTTTAGTTTTTAAAATAATATTAAAGAGTTTCATAAGCCAAAAACTCTCAAATCTCATAAATATATCCACACTTCAATTGAGATATCATCAGGTCCTATTGATTTTTCACCATTGGTTTTCTTTAAAGTTTTTTCAATTTTCTTGTTACTAATGAGATGGTAAAACTAAAAAATTTATCATGATTAGCATTACGAAAACCACTAAGGTCAGTCGTATTTTCAGAAACTTCATTGAAAAGTTTATCAAAATAGCTCATCCACTATGTTGAATATCTTCCTCTAAGAAAAATATTTTTTTAATTTTCATATTTAATATATTTTACTTGAATTAAATCTTTTTTTATTTCTTTTTGTTGGGCTAGTTTATACATATATTTTTAACTATCTTTAATATCCAATATATTATAAATATCACTAAAAGCAGAATTATTGGTGTCACAAATTGTTCTCTTAAACTCACTACAAGCCACCTTATATTTTTCTCAATTCTCCAAGTTTTTACATTTAAACTAATTTTTATAACATAACTTATAATATTTTATCTTTTCTTACACATTATTATTCCACCATTAACTATTTTTATTCATAAAAATCGTTTCTTTTGATTCCCCATTACATCTTTTATCACTTGTTTAATAGTTTGTTATATTATCCCACATAGAATTAATTTCTCCATGAACATCCAAATCTTTAAATCTTGAAGTTTACTCATAAAAATAATTTTATTTATGTTTGTCGGGTGCCCCGATATAATTCTATGATAATGTTTCATTATATTTTTTATCTTACAACTCCTTATCTTAAAATTCAAAACTAGTAATTGATGTTGAGTACTAAAATTTTCAATTAGAATGACCTTACAGTATTTATATTCTCAAAGATCTTTTTTTCTCATAAGAAAATAATTAATTTATGTTTTCTTAGATCCATTTTTATTAGTAATAATATGCGCATCTTTTTTTTTAAATAAAGTATTCGGAAAAACAAACTCATAGGCTAAAGCAAAATCTAATATGGTTCTATCGTATTCATTAATCACTCCAAAACCGCAATCACTATGAATATTTCTAAAATTTTTTATCATTCTACCAACATGTTGATTTAAATCTCCTCCAAAAAAATTCTTTCTTCAAAAGCTGTCATTTGTATTAAGTTTTCTAGGTCGTTCCAAAATTTTTCTTTTGAGCTTATATGTAATCCTACTTGAGATGTATAAGCACCTATAAAATTAAAAATAATCTCAAGCGTTGTAATTCTATCCAATTCCATTAATTTTTAGAACATTATCATTCAACTTCTTATCTATAATCACACCTATAGCATTTCTAGTGTGGCGCTTACCTAAATATTAAAGTTTAAAACCTAAGCTATCAATCTTCTTAACATTTTCTCCAACCCATTTATTTTCTTGAATGTATAAGATATTTATCTTCCAATGAATCCTAATATCTATTAATTCTGTTATTTTACCTATGAGAGCATCCATATTCCAAGATTCTATCCTAATATTAGATTCATAGAATTATTTTTTTGTCTGCATCTGTCCATAATACGAGAACCCTTCATTATTTGACACTACACCCGAGCGCCGGTGTCGCGATTCTTACACGTTTTTCACTACATTCAGATCGTACAGTATGTCACTTCCAAATGGCTCTCTAGCATTTACACAATGATTTAAAGTCTACTAATGTAGGTAATGCTTTTAATTTTTGGAAGTGATCAAGTGTCAAAATTCTTTTACCATTATAATTCGCTCATAGTCTGCCTTTTGCCTTCTTGCGACAAATAGTTAAAAAAACATATATAATAATCCACGAAAATAATGATAATAATGGTGCCTAGAAGCCATGACAAGAGTGGTGACACGTATAATAGTGACTAGATTAGCATGATATGACAATAGCATCAACGGAATTAGCATGACAACAACTTATGAGGGCAAGACAAAAAAATGGAGCTAATAGCAGTTATCATTCAAGGACATAAAATGGTAACAATTCAAACAAAATACACCAACTATTTGAACAAAAAAATTCCAAAACACTACCAAATAAATCACATTATACCCCACCTAAAAAAAACCACAAAACACACAGTCTCTTCTCATAAGCCATCATCAAAGAGGTGTCTTAGTAACAAAAATAATAACTATTTAAAAGATAGAGCAACTACTAAAACAAATAATATTTGCTTAGATCAATATTTGATGCAAATGCTTTCAACGAGAATAAACACAAAAATTTCTATCACAAAACAATTCAAATTTAAAGTTAGATAATTCCTAAGAAAAGGATGAAGCCAAATATGATACTTGAGAAAAGGATAAGTAAATTGATTTCTTTTCATCACAATCAAACACATTAGAAACGACATAAAAATAACAAAATACTTCAAGAAACAATAATAGAGTCTTGATGCATGTCATTTACTACATCCTAGACAAACTTGAATGATTCGCTTTTTCAAGAAGTATGGAAAAAAAATATTTTTGATATTGCCTCATCAAGCTTTTGTAGATCATACCGAAAACAACTTCACACAATTTAGAAATCTCATTAAATTTCAGCATTACATTATAAAGTGAGAAGAATGGTCCTCATTTGCACAAAAAAAATATTACATCAGTACTACGTACGTAGAAGTAATGTGCGTAGCCAATGAAATCACGCCATGACACCCCATGCGACAGGGGAAAAAACGGCGCAGTAACACGGGGAATATTCCCCCCTGTGTTATTCATGTGATATTGCGTGTTATTCATGTGTTATTGTGTGTTATTCATGTGTTATTGT